TACGGCGTGATACGTGTACAGCCGCTGTTCGGAGCTAGGGGAGCGGCCACTCCATCCTTGCTTCACAGGTCTGCCTACCTCTCTGTCCATCTCTCTCTCTCCAATCTCCTCCTCCCCCCCCCCCTTTCCCCCTCTCCTCTCCCCTTTCTCCATCTTTTTCTATACAACATCTTCCTCTCCTGAGTCTTACCATGACTGCTTCAACCAAGGTTGACGACAATGGAGACTCCATTCACATGGAGACGCGGGAGACGGCCGCAACCCCCGGCAATGGCGACAACGACCCAGCCCTGGCGGCGTTCAACACCAAATCCGCCCGCGGCAAGGCGGCCCAGCTCCTGAAGGAGGTGGGTCACCATGTCGTCGTCACGCCCGAGGAGAACAAGCGCGTCCTGCGTCTCATCGACCTGCGTATCCTGCCCATCATCCTCTTCGTCTACTGCCTGCAGTCGCTGGACAAGACGACGCTCAGCTACGCCTCCGTCTTCGGGCTCATCCAGGACACGAACCTCAAAGGCAACGAGTTCTCGTGGCTGGGCTCCGTCGTCTACGTCTCCCAGCTCGTCTTCCAGCCGCTAGTCGCCTACCTGCTCGTCCGATTCCCCATCGGCAAGTTCTCGGCCACCATGGTGCTGTGCTGGGGTAGCGTGCTGTGCTGCATGGCCGCTGCGCACAACTTTGGCGGGCTCATGGCTACTCGTCTCCTTCTGGGCATGTTTGAGGCTTCTGTCGGTACGTGCCCACCCCCTCCCTTCTTATACTAGTGTGCGTGCGTGCCCCTGGCTGACGAGTCTCTTCTCTTTCTTCTCAACAGGCCCTACCTTTATTGCCGTCGTGCAGATGTGGTACCGACGACGAGAGCAGACGAAGCGTAACGCTGCGTGGTACTCCATGCTGGGTGTCGTCAACATTGTGAGCAGTGACTTTATATATACAAGAGGAATACACGTAAAGCGGTGCGCTGACATTTCATGGTCTGATAGCTGGGAAGTCTGCTGTCGTTCGGTCTGGGACATATCAAGTCGTCTCTCAAGCCGTACCAGGTAAGTCTGATAGATGTATATATATGTATATATATATGTCAATCGTCATCCCTGATCCATCGACTCGACTAACACGAAAGCAGGTCATCTTCCTCTTCTGCGGCGCCATCACCGTGGCCTTTTCAGCCGTCATGTAGTAAGTCTCACACACACCCACACACCAAAAGAGAAGCCACCGGTACATGTACGGAGAAGATCTCATTGAACCCGACACTGACACGTCGTGCAGCCTGTTCATGCCCGACTCCCCCGTCGAGGCCAAATTCCTGACACCCGAGGACAAGGTGATCGCGCTGGAGCGTCTGCGCATGAACCAGATGGGCATAGAGTCTGGTGTGTGGAAGTGGGACCACGTGCGCGAGGCGGTGCTGGACCTCAAGACGTGGCTGTGGTTCTCGCTGATGTTTGTCATCAGCATCCCGTCGGGTGGTATCTCGGCCTTTGGCCCGCTGATCATCGAGTCCTTCGGCTTCGACCAGTTCACCACGATCCTGTTCAACATGCCCTTTGGTGCCGTGCAGCTCGTGGCCACCATGGGCGGCGCCTTCCTGGCCGACAAGCTGCGCATGAAGTCCCCCGTCCTCCTTCTCCTGTGCCTCCCCCCCATCGCCGGCTGCGCCGTCCTGCTCGCCGTCGGCAGGGGGGCCGGGGACCGCGCCGTCCTCCTGGTAGGCTACTACATCATCTCGGTCTACCCGGGCATCTCGCCCCTCGTGTACTCGTGGTCCGGCCAGAACACGGCCGGCGACACGAAGCGCAAGGCCACCACCGGTATCCTGTTCGTCGGCCAGAGCGCCGGGAACATCATCGGCCCCTTCCTCTTCCGTCCCAACGAGGCACCCAAGTACACCCGCGGCCTGACGGCCAACCTCGCCCTCTTCGTCGTCCTCGCCGGCCTCGTCATCCTCGGCATGCTCCTCATCCGCATCCTCAACGCCAAGCAGGCCGCCAAGCGCAAGGCCATGGGAAAGTCCGAGCACATTCAGGATCTCAGCATGGCTGACCAGAAGCAACTCGACGCCGCGGTCCTCAATGACGATGTCGAGGGGGGCGCCGACGATGCTGCCCACCCCGTTGATAATAAGGCGCTCGAGGACATAACCGACCGTCAGAACGAGGACTTTGTCTATGTCTACTAAGTGTTGTTAATTTTGGCATTGTTTTTTTTTCTTCTCTTTCTCCTTCTCATTTCTTCCTCTTTCGTACATTCTTCTTCATACTCTTCACGGCCATCAAGTAGCATTCAATAGCGTTCTGGTCCTTCATAGTCGGTCAGAGACCAAGCACCACAGAAACCTGTCCTTTTTACAGTAAATCAAGCAACGTTTTATGATGTTCCCATCAACTGAAGATGTGTCATAGAAAGGGCCGTCGAATTACAACTCCATCTCCTCAACCTCCATCCCACACTCTACACACGTCTTGACCGACATGCCATCTTCATTGACCACGATCCTCCCCCAGTCGTGGACATGCCTCGCGGCCGAACCGACGGCATCGCCGAAGCGGCTGGGCCCGGCCGCACTCCCGGCGCCGCCACGACCGACCGCGGCCTGCCGTCGGAAGGCCTCCGTGCGCGTCTTGCGCTTCAGCTCGGTGAGCTTGTCCCTGAACTTGGCCTCCTTGCGCGCCTTCTTCTGGGCCTCCCTCCTCTCGTACTCCTGGTCCAGGGCCTCTGCGGAACCCCACTTCGTCCTGATGGCGTACTCCTCGACCTGTATGCGCAGGAAGAGCATCATGTCGTGCCAGTGGGACTTGTGGGGGTTCGGCTTGGACAGGTGCGGGAGTAGCTCGGGGTCTCGAAGCTCGGCTGCCCGTCCGGAGAGATTTACGTTGCCGTCACCGTCACCGTCAGTATTAAGGGGGAGCCGGGACGCAAGAAAGGTATGCGCGCGGGAGGGGACGTACGATCGGTCAATAGGTAATCCTCCTTGCACTCCGTCTTGGTGAGGAGGGAGTACTTCTCCGGATACCTTTCCTTGCACCTCGAGCACACGGATAGGTGGAAGACGTCGTCCCACACCCAGTCGATCTCCATGCTCGAGCACTCGCGGCACCTCTTCTTCTTCTCCGGCTCATCTAGCACGCTTATCCCCGGCTCGAACTTGCCCGCCCTGTTGCGCTCCAGGCTGCGCAGTACCTGAAGCCTCTCCCACTCCCGAGCCGTCATGTGCTGCGGCCGCGCGTTCTCGTCCGTCGCCGTCCCCGGCTGCTGCTTCGCCGACGACGCGCCCGGTCGGAAAGACGCGTCATCCTCGGCCGACAGGAAGCCTCCCTTCGTGTCCGTCATGGCGCTCATGTCGTAGTCGACAAACTTGGTGAACTTGGCCGCTGGGCGGATTGCCTCTGCCGTCCCGGTCCCTGACGGCCCCGTGTTGCGTCCGTCGCGGTTCGTCGCCGGCCTGCGCGCATCGTCGCCATCGTCTTCATATCTTCGCTTCCTGCCCCGCGCGTTTCTGCTGTTGCTGTTGTTGCTGTTGTTGACAATGTACATGTCCTCGCTCGCTTCAAAGGGGATCGCGTCCGTCCCGCCGACCGGTGCTGCCGCCCCTTTGACTCTCTGCTCTGCTTCTCGTCGTGTGCGGATCGCCTTGGCTCGTAGTCTATTCTCTTCCTGCGTACGCGCACGGGGCAGCATGGGATTAGCTATCCTTGCTCTCTCTCTCTCTCTCTCTCTCTCTCTCTCTCTCTCTCTCTCCCTCTCTCTCTCTCCCTCTCTCTCTCTATTTCGCCTATATTTTCCCTCGATTCTCTATTTCCTTCCTTTTTTTCATTT